CACCCTCCGCCCGCCCTGCCGGCCTCGCGACGTCATATACATTTTTCTTTCCCCCTCATACCCTTTCTTGTTGGGTCGGCGCGGCCGTGGCGCTCGGTCCCGGCTGTTTAAAACGCATTCTGCTGGCCGGGCACTCTGTATGCCTAAACGAACGTAATATCAAGTCCCTCCCCTCCCCGCCCGCGCCGCTCGCCCACTCTCCGTGATTTGCCTACTCTCGCGCTTGTCCCCGCGTGGCCCGGTGGTGGAGTGATGAGGCCTCTTTCTCGCCCTCCCCCTCTCTCTCTCGCCCTCCCCTTCTCTCTCTCTCTCTCCTCCTTCTCCTCTCTCACGCCCGCCCCGCACTCTCTCCTTCTCCCTCCCTTTCATTATTTTCCTGGGTATCCGATTTCAGCAGGAGGAGCAATTGCCCGGAAAATGCAAATGCAGCATAATGGCTTGGGGGGGGGGTGAGTGTATTTCCTTCTCTGCCTGCGCCGCCCCCTCCCTCGGCGTGAGCGCGGGGCGCCGGGCGTGTGCTGGGAAATGAATTGACCTCAAGGAGGCGATGGCTCAAGGAGGCCCAGGAATTGCACGCGTTCTTTTCACCCTTTCCCCCTCTGCTCCACCCCCGCCTCTGTCTCTCTCCAGGCCCCCTCGCCCCCTTTTGGTGAGGCGCCATTTTCAAACGGGCGCGCGCAGCCCGCTCCGCCCGCTTCGCCCGCTCCGCCGGCATACCTATCACTGCTAAGAGGATTGTGAGAAGGGCCCTGCTGAATGCGGCCGAGCGGCGCCTGGCCTGGCGGAGCCTGGCGACGTCGGACCGCAGCACAAGTCCGTGACACGGAAATGGCTTGAGTGCTTTCCCTTGAACGCGGTAAAAGAGAGGCGGGGGAGTATACAAGGAAGGCGCAAACAAACCAAACCCACTCGGATGTCAGCGGTTCACCGGTACGCGCGTGCCGAGCATGTGCGTTCGAATATTTTCGCAGCAACGGCAGTTTTTTTCCCCATTCCTGTGTGACTTATAAATATTACTGTAATTTTTCGTCGCGCGTCTCCGCGGCGCAGATGAGCCCCCTAATGTGGGGAGGGATCCGCGAGCGGGGAGGGGGTGGTGCGGGGGCGGTGGGAGGGCACGTTCGTGTATTCACCCCCCCCCCCCCCCACCTCGTTCGCATCTCGTGCTGCGGGGATGCTTGTGCACTCGATGTTTTTTTTCCGTAGGGGTGGGGCGGCGGGTGTGGGGCGCGCTAAACTCCCAGAACGCCTCGGCCCCACGCCCCGCCACCGACATCGTATCCACATTTCCGCTAAGTCCTTTTTATGCTTGGTCGGGGCTTATAAGATGTGTTTCAAAAGCTGGGGGGGAGAGGTACGGGGGAAGGGCGAGAGGGGGCGCTCCCTGAGAAGGCCCCGCCCCGCCCCGCCCCGTGGCGCCGCGCCACTCTTTCGCATTAACAAGCATCAATTCATAGAGGCGGGGCGGGGCGTGGCGTGGCGTGGCGGGGCGGGGCGTGGCGTGGCGGGGCGTGGCGGGGAGGCCATGAATGGGTCGGGATTAACTCAATGCCGACATGGCCTTGCGCGCGAGCGAGAGCGGCCCGGAGGGGGCGGCGGGCGCCAAGGTGTGCGAGCGAGACAGCGCCGCGGAGATTATGCCTGGCGTCGTTATTATTAATTCCGAATGATGACTTTGGAATGAATTGGGACCGCCTCCCGCCTCCTTCCTGCCTCCCCAAACCCCTCCGCGCCCACCCCC